AAAAACTCAGGACTGGATGGCTTAACTCCTAAATTCCACCAAATTCATTCTTTCTTTCTCATGCTAGGCAAGTGCTCTACTAGTGAGCTACACACTAGGCCCATTAAACATGTAAAGAAGAATGAATTCCAATTCTCGTAAAGCTATTCCAAAGTATTGGAAGTGCAGATCATTTCCGGACTCAGTCTATGAGGCCAGCATCACTGTGATGCCACAGCCAGATAGGGACACAAGAAAACAAAACTAAAGACAAATACCTCTGCTGAACTTTAGGCACAAAAGTTTGCAACAAAATATAAGCAAATCAAATTCAACCAAACATAAAAAAGATGATATACCATAAGCACTTGATATTTATTCAAGAAATGTAAGATTCAACATAGGTAAAGCAGTAAGTATATCACACCAACAGGAAAAAGGGTGTAAATCATGTGGTCATCTCGAGACTGAGAAAAAACATTTAGTAAATTTAACTCCAAGATGTTATGTATAGAAGGAGTGTACTTCAATACAATAAAGGTTACTGATGAAAAGCCTTCAGACAACATCACACAGAATGATGAAGAGCTAAAGTCATTTCTTCTAAGATCAGCCACTAGACGAGAGTGTCCATTTTAATTACTCTTCTCACAGGCAGCATTAGCAGGTGGGGAGCAATGGGACAAGAGAGATAAACAGAGGAAGGTAGAGGTCAAATATCACTGTTTGCAGATGACATGATTTTAGATATAGAAAACCTAAAGACATCACCAAAAATTGTTAGTACTTAGAAATAAATTCATTGACATTGGAGAATGAAAATCAACATACAAGAATCAGGAAGTTTTTATATATGAGTAACAAAATTGCTAAGAATGAAATCAAGAAAACAATTGAGGGCTGGAGGTATAGCTCAACGGCACAAGTGCCTGCCCAGCAAGCTCATGATCATGAGTCCAATTCCTGGTATAAAAAAAAAAAAAAAGAAAAAGAATAAAACGACTGCATCCATATAGCTACAAATAAAATAAGATCAGTAAGTAGGAATAAATTTAGTCAAGGAAGTGAATAATCTCTACAGTGAAAATTACAAAACACTGATGAAAGAAATTGAAGAAAACATAAAAGATGGAAAGATATTTATTATTAAATGTGCATACTACCCAAAGCAGTCTACAGGTTTAAGGCAACTCCTATAAGAATACTAATGATATTCTTCACAGTAGTAGAAAAAAAAAATCTCCTAAATTTTGTATAGAACTACAAAAATCCTGACTAGTTCAAGCCAAATGAACAAATCAGGGAGTATGATGTTATCTGGCTTAAAAATACACTAAAAAGCTATAATTACCAAAACAACATGGCATTGGCCAAAAAAAGAAAGAAAGAAAGAAAAACAGATACACAGACTGATGAAACAGAATAGAGAACCTAGAAATAACCCTACATATTTTCAACCAACCTTTTTTTTTTACAGAGACTACAAGAATATACATTGGAAAAGGAAAATCTCTTCAATTAATGGTGCTAGGAAAAGTGGATATTCATATATAGAAAAAAAGAATCTAGTCTCCGATATCTCATTCTCTACAAAAACCAAAGTGGATAAAAGACTTACATGTTGACCGCAAACTATGAAATGACTAGAAGAAAACTTAAGGGAAATTCTTTAGTACATTGGTTTAGGCAAAGATTTTTTAATATGACCCTCAAAAGACAAACAACAACAACAAAAAAAGGACAAACAGAATTGCACCAACTAAAAGCCTTCTGAAGAGTCCAATCCCTCTCTGATTGTGTAATAATTTCTGTCTAATTCAGTTACCCATATATTAGCACTGGTTATTCAGGAAACTTGCTCATTTTATCTAAATTTGTTGACAAGAAATTATTCATAGTATTTTCTTTTTATTTGCCTTTGAAAATAAATTTTAGAATAACCTTGCCTATAGATTTTAAAAGACTTAAAATTTTTTTTAAAAAGTCTTACCGGAAGGCTGGGGATTTAGCTCAGCAACATAAGCGCCTGCCTGGCAAGCATGAAGTCGTGAGTTCCATCCCCAGAACCAAAAGACTTACTGGAATTTTGATATGGATTTTCTTAATCCTGCATGTCTATTTAGGAAAAATTGTCATCTTTACTATGCTGAATTTTCCAATGAATGAATGTGGCTTTTAAAAATTTATTCTTTAGCGTTGTGTAGTTTTTTAAGTGTACATATTCTGTACCTGTTTTACATATATTTATACCTCTTTTTTCAATAATTTTAAATAGTACTGTATTTTACAGTTCAGTGTTAAGTTCACTGACAGAAAACAGAAGTACAAGTTGTTGTTGTTTTTGTATAGACAATTGTGTTAACCACAAACAGGGACTGTCTTATTTCTTTCTTTAAAGTGTCTGACAAGCCAGGTGTGGTGGCGCATGCCTGTAATCCCAGCACTCGGGGAGGCTGAGGCAGGAGGATTGTTGCAAATTCCAGACCAGACTGGGCTACAAAATGAACTCAAGCTCAGCCTGAACTGCATAGTGAGACCCTATCTCAAAAAGACAAATAAATAAATAAAATTAATTAGTTAAAAAATAAAACAAAATACAATAAAATAAAAGCCTTCTGTACAGCAAACACAGCAGCCCGCAGAGTGAAGAGGCTGTCAAAAGGGAAGAACTGCTGGGAAACTGTTCCTCTAACAAGGGTTAATCTCCAGGCTCATAAGGAACTTGGAAAGGTCAACGGCAAAAAAGAATTCAATATAATAATGATGATTTTAAGTGATGACACAGAATTTCAAAACAAAATAATCAGAAATTAACACTAGGTAATATATTGCATATTGTTATCTTCAAAGTAGTTCAGATTACAAGATACAGACACGGAAAAATGATCAGCCAAACAGTGAAAGCACAAACTGTTCTTTTTGATGAACTAAGAGAAATTAGTAGTATACTTATCTCTTGTATATACATATATATATTATATATAATATATATGATTTTTTCTTTTCCTTCTTTTTTCCTTTCCCTATCTCAGTGGTTTTTTCCTTTTGAGCAGTTTCTTTCCCTTTCACAGTATCTATTGTACATTTTGGATCTTTACTCTTTCACGTTTTTACACTAGGGAGTTTTTATTCTTTTTTCATTTTAAAATAAAAAAATCAAAAACAACACAAAATCACCTAAAGAAATTAAAACATTCACCCAAAACATTCAATTTTAAAGTGTGCAAATTACCCTGAATAGATATTTCTCTAAAGAAGATATAAACATGCCCAGAAAAGCATATGAGGAAAGATAACCCGCATCACTAACCTGTAGAGAAATGCACATCAAAACCACAGGGAGACACCACTTACCCCAGAGAGGATGGTTATCCCCAAAAGACGGGAAGCCTTGCCAAGGACTCGGGGAAGGGCCTCTCAGCTGCCAGCAGTGCGGATGCAAACTGTGCCCCAGGAAAGCGCTCCATTATGTTCAGGTTAATAGCATTTGGAGGCGGGCCTTGAGGGCAGTTAGGGTTGGACAAGGTCAGGACTAGTTCGTGTTGCATAGGAGGAAAGAGACCCACGCCAGGGCGCTTTCTCCGTCTCTCTGTGTGATGCCCTCCACCGTGCCATCCGTGGCACAGAGAACCTCACCTGATGCCAGCCAGATGCCAGAGACTTGCAGGTTTCCAGCCTGCAGCACTATGAGTCAGATAAATCCCTATGCTTTAAAGCCTGCCTGGCCTGCCATATTATTTATTTATATATATATATATATATATATATATATATATATATATATGGCACTAGAAACAGACTAAGACACTAGTTCCTTCAAGAAAAAAAAAAAACACCTTGCTGAGCCTGGTGGCATGTATGTTGTGCCTGGCGGCATGTAGGTTGGAACCCAGACACTCTGCCAGAGCAGGAGGACTGGAAGTTTGAACCCAGTGTGTAACTTCATGAGATTCTGTCTCAAACACAAAAAAACAATAAAATCAATGTTTATAGAAGAGACAAAGTTATCATCAGTTGGATTTTTTAAAATCAAATAACCTTTCCCCCCTTATGATAAAGATTTGCCCTGAAATGGGATACCCCTCAGATCCCAGAGATAACAGGATAGATTTTAAAAAAGAAAGAAAACAGTCTAGAAAACGGACGTCTCAATGAACAGAGAAAGGATGCATGTTTTCTCCTAGAGAGTGTTTTGGGGCACAGAGGCTGAGTTTATGCAAGGTTCAGACTACATTTTAGGCAAGTGCCTGAGGAGATGCTGAGTGGGGCTCTCACTGTGTCCAGAGGTCACCAGTGTGACTGAAACACCCAGCCTGATTCCAGTCACTTTGCGTCTTTTTAACATCGAGTAGTTGCTTCTGTGGAGAACGGGATGCCCATGTTAAGGGACGCAGGGTGGGAGAGAGAGGGGAAAGCCTGGCGGCATGGGCAGAGGCACGGAGGAAGTGGGGCTTGAACAGGGCAAAGAGAGAGAGCTAACGGGAAGGCAGCGAGAGGCCTGGGGGAGGCACTGCGGGGAGGTTTAGTGTCCTGGAAAAGCCCCAGGCACCGCAGTGAATTGTGCCAGTGGTGAGGAGGTGGACAGTGTTGGTGAAGCATGGAGTTAGCAGAGGTTTGGGAAGCAGGCGTCAAGGCCTGAGTCAAGGCCAAAAGTAATATGCCTCTGATGACTTCGAATTAATAAGTCTCTTATGGAACGTTTATGGAACCTTCCACAGAAGATTCAAAAGACATAGCTGTCCAAAAATCTAGTGTGACTCCCTAAGTCAGCCAGAGATGGAAAGTCTTAGGAAACTGTGACTCTGGAAATAGCTGGTAGGAGACCAGTTGCCAATGAGGGGCACAAACCATATTTGTGTCTGGTCATGCTCCTGGATGTGTCAGCCTCATGGCTAGCTGCCTGTACAGGTCGTCCTGGTAAGCTGGATACCCAGACAGGTGGAAATCAAAGCCCAGCTTTTTTAGCACACAAAGGTTAACAAAACAGAAAGCAATCACTATTCCTGGAGGGAAAAGATGAATAACCAATAGTTACCCTAAAACTGAATTTAATCATGGGCACATTACAAAAAATTTTTAATTCTTACAAATATTGTCTTCTGCCAATATGAATTTGGGGCAGAAAGGACACGAAGAAGTGTGCACCTGCTTTGCATGACAGGGTGCTACAGGACAGAGACCCAAGAGACTCTTTTGCTCTATTCTGGTTTTCCCAAGGTTCTCCCAGTAGGTTCCAGAGCATCCCAAGGTTCCATCTGGGTCACCAAAGCTGTATAGGAAGAAAAACAATTTTCTTTCTGTCCTTTCTGTGTCTCTGAGTGGCACACCTTGTAACAAAACACAGATTAAAAAGAGAAAAACAAATAGAAGCTTTAGTCTATATGCCTTGTGCATAGTAGAAGACACCCAGAGAAATGAGTAAACCTAGAAAGGTGGCTGAGAGTTCCGGCTTCTGGTCCATCTCCAGCTGAAACACAGCGGGTCTGGGTCAGACAGTTCCCAGGGGTGGTGGGGAAAGCGTGGGAACAGGGCACGGTGAGTTACATGGGTCCTGTTGGTGTCCTTATCATCAATAGTCTGGTGACTTACTGTTCTCTCCTCTGCCTGGGTGAGCAGAGGGAGATGTGCCCAAAGATGCAGATCGTTCGTGTAATGCTGATTTCTCTTATGAAAAGGTAAACTTTGATTTTGTTTTCAGAGCTTCTTTGGCTGCTTTATCTCAAAATAATTCCTATTCCAAAGAGGATGTTTTGAGGTGACATATGCTGGTTTTCTACAGTGTCATTCAGGGTATCACATTTTGATCTTCTGCAAGCCTGGGAGTCACCGTAACCTCTTCCAGAAAGGAGAAATGGGGACAGGCAGGTAGGTGGGACTGAAAGCACTGATAAGAGGAAGCACTGAGGAGCCAGCTCAGCTCAGGATGGAACTGGGCTCGCAGTGGAGTCACACCACTGCCCAGCCTTTACCTAACTCGCCCGTCTTCACTGGCCTTCTGGGGGCTGGTTTGTTTCTCTCTCTCTCTCTCTCTCTCTCTCTCCCCTGAGTCCCTGATTCTTGGCATGGGCTCTGCAGTCTTAGTGACCAGCAGTTCTTCCCACCTCAGGAGATCAGCCCCGTGCTCTCTTGGGGCAGCTGATCTGGGCCACTCCTGCATGGGTCAGCCATTTGGTCATCTTTGGCCTCTGACTCCATGGCATGAGAAATCTAGTCCAACCCAGCTTAATGTTTCTCTAGAAATTGTAGATAGGAGGACAAAATAAAACTAGCCAAGTTACAAAAGTACAGTGACCACAGATCCAGTGCTGACAGGGGTGGGGTTAAGAGTGTGAGGGAGGGTGTCTCTGGAGGATTCTCCTGACTCTTCCAACGCTATTTCTCTCTTTCACTCTGTCTCTGTCTCTGTCTCTGTCTCCGTCTCTCTCTCTCTCTCTCTCTCTCTCTCTCTCTCTTTCTCTCTCTCTCTCTCACACACACACACACACACACTCATTAAAGTAGTACACAGGGCATCGGTGAACACCTATAATCCCAGCTACTCAGGAGGCTGACGCAGGAGGGCAATGAATTTGAGGCATCTTAGGTAGCTTAGGGAGGCGCTGCCTTGTAAGAAAAAATAAAAAGGGCTAGAGATGTAGCTCAGTGATAGAGTAACCTTTGGTTCAACAGCCACATTACAAAAAACAAACAAAAAAGTATTAAATTATACACTTAAAATTGGTAAATTTCATGGTATATAAATTATATTTGTCTGTGTGAAATAGATTGTCTCTGCATTTAAATACCCTCTGATATATCTTTTTCGTGCCCAGGAATTATCTGCCTTCCTCCTGGGAAAATTAGCAAGACTCTGTTCCAAATAAAAAGGGCTAAGGATGTAGCTCAGTGGAAGAATATTTGCCTAGCATATGTAAGGCCTTGGGTTCTGTTCCCAGTAACTGCTAAAAAATAAGTAAATAAATTTATCTTCTATTTGTTCATTTTTTAAAAGGTAATTACTCCTCCAAGTCTTGCTGTATTTTGTCCACCTTGTTGTCCTGCGTACCCAACCCTGTGAATTCCTAGATTGCCAGTTCATAGTTATTAGACATAACAAAAAGCAATCTGCCAGTGTAGTGTCTTCTAAGGGAGGTACAATTCAAATCAAATCACTACCGGGCCCTTTTTATTTCAGAGTGGTGGCCAGGGCCCATAAAGAAAGGAACCAGATACCACCTAGGTGTTTAGCCCAGGACTTTGGTCACAAAAAAGGGAAGGTGTTAAAGTAGTGCCCAGATGATCTGGGGTAAGTGGTGTCATCTTGATCCAGAGAGACTTCCTCTCCCCTGCAAGGGCAGGATATTAGCTGTCAGCTGTGAACAAGCTGCCTAGGAGCAGGCCTGGCATTCCAAACCAATGTGTGGTCTCCTCAGGGAAGCATGTGGTTGGGGGCTGAGGAGAGCCAGCTGTTCTGCAGAAGAAACTGGGAGAGACCTGTTGTTTGTGAAAGCACATGTGGCCTGAGGAGCTGGGCAGCAGAGGAGAGGGCTGGATAGGAGCCACAGAGGGGCTTGTGGGACAGGGACCTTTAAAAAGAAGTTCTCTGACGTTTTATTTCTGATGGCTTGTGGCACTGTAATGTCAGTCCCCACACCTCGCCATGATGTTGCTCAACTCTGTCAAACACCGAGTCCTCCTGTGAATGGTCATTAGCTGAAATCAGGGAAAAGAGTGACTTCTACCCTCTGGCAGAAGAGGCAGTATCTACCAATCTTAAATACCAAAATGACCCATAAACTCATCAAACTGCTCCATACATAATTCAGAGCATTTTGTTAGCTTTGTGTCACTGTGACCAAATACTTGCAATAAACAACTTTTACGAACAGCTTTTGCTTTGGCTTATGGTTTCAGAGATGACAGATCATGGACCTTGGCCCTGCTGTCCTGGGCAGGTGGTGAGGCAGCTCACATGGAAGGGAGTCATGACGGAGCAGAGCTGTTCACTTCATGCTGGCCAGAAAGCACAAACAGAGGAAAAAGTTGGCTTCTCTTGGTGCCTTGGTGACTGGAAAACCTTTCAGTTGGCCCAGCTCTTAGAGGTCCCATGGTCTCCATTGTGGTCACTGACTGGGGACTAGGTCTTTTTTTTTTTTTTTTTTTTTTTTTTTTTTATTTAAGAGGAAAAAGAGAAAAACACAAAACAAGACAAAGCAGTGTAAGGTTACACATAATACAGAACTACAAAAAAAAAATAAACATAACAGTAAGAAATCACCTGTTAATAGATTACATAATATCATCTTGGAAATAGTTGCTCAAATCACAGTATCAAAGAATACAAAGTAGACATTCAAACGGAGAGACTGCAAACAGCTGTGTTCAATGATCCAAAAACATTAATATAGTCAGCTATTTAACATCCCTAAACACACTTGTTGTTATATCCGTTAGAGCTCTTTTTTTTTTCCCTCCCTCTCTTTTTTATAACAAAATTTACACATTTTGGATTTTATTACTCCTCAGTTCTCATTACTCTCTTGGGGGGGAGATAATAAAGTCAAATATGGCAAAACAAAGCTGTAAGTCCAAACCAAGGATAGACATAGCACATGATGTAGAACAGAGTACAAGGTCATCAACAATGGTTATCAACATTGTCTCTTGTTTCCTTAAAAGGAATTGTCTATCTCATTAGATATTATAAAGTTGGACAAAACAGTGGAGAACAAGACCAATAAAACTTAGGCATTGTGAACATTGCAGGACTTCCAAAGGAGACAATAGTCAAACCAGAATGGGCATCTTTGTGAATCTTATTGCCTTCAAATTAGTTGCCTATACCTTCAAACTTGCTACTGTCGCACAGAATGGAACAGAGTCTAATCAGTCAAAACAAGATCTTGGGAGTATTACAGGACTTCAAAACAAGTTAATAGGAGATCAAAAAGAGTTACTACTATATATCCTAATTTTTTAAGTTTTTCCCTTAATTAAAATAAACATAAGAAATAGCTAAATAATTTTTTTTAAAGAATAGTGGGGACTAGGTCTTTAACACCGTGAGTCTGTAGGCCACACTTACCCGAACCACAGGAGATACCTACTATGCAGCAATGAACATTGTTGCTATTGTGAGAGGCAGCAAGAAGTGAGGCTTAGGCAGTTGGGCACAAAATATCCAGTAGGTAGTTGACAGTACTAGGGGGCAATAAATAAAGAACAAATACAGTATTAAAATGAAGGATGAGTGCTACAAACAATCAGAACAAAGTGGTGACAAAATAAACCAGCTGCAGAGGGAGGAGGATCCATTTAGCAAGGGCAGCTAAGAATTCAGCAAAAGTAGGAAATGAAGTTAGAGGGGAGGGAAAAACAAACTGCTCTTCCCCCACATCAGCCGGGTCTCTTCAAGGTCCTGGTGAGGTAGGAGGTAGTAGCGGGATCGTTCTTCAAGGGGAGGGAGGGCCACCCAAGCACATCTTGCTTCCATCCCAAAGTATGGGGATCTCAACTGATCACAGATTTCTACAGAGCTGGCAGTGCAGCTCCATGACAAATGCTTCCTGCACAAAGCTCTGCGTTCAAACTTAGTGCCCCCAGCACCACACATACACACATGTGTACATACACATGAACATACATATACAAATACACATATGCACACACATGTGCATGCAATAAAGTAACAACTTTAATGATTACTATTCAAAAAAGGCTTAATAAACACCTGGGTCTGTGAGATATATACACATATATATTACAGCCATAAGTAGGTTTTATTAGCTCCTATTTTACAAAACAAAATTGAGGCCCAGTGACACCACAAATTTAAAAAAGGGATTCTCGCCTGGTGTGGTGGTACACGCCTGTAGTCTCAGCACTCGGGAGGCTGAGGCAGGAGGATCATTGCTGGGCTATGTAAAGTGAGCTCAAAGCCAGCCTGAATTGCATAGTGAAACTCTGTCTCAAAAAGACGGGAAAAAAGGGGGTGGGGGATGCTTGGTTGGAAGCCATGTCTCTCAAACTCGAGAGATCACGTATAACCAAAAGCTGGAGCACAGAACACCAATTTTTGCATTAACCAATTCCATTATTCATCTGGTAAAAGCATAATTGACCACTCATGGTGTGCTCAGCACTAGATACGCCGCAGTGCACAGAAGCTGCTCGTAGGGAGCAGGTGCAAGCACTCAGAACCGAGCTAAGTTAAGAAACACACCTGCCAGGCTGGTAAACTCAGAAGCCTCCTCTCCAGCTGGGGGGTGGGTACTTGTCCTTTGGAGATTTCTTCCTCTTTGATTTGAATTACTGAAATAAAAACACGTGTAAAAGTGAAAGGAGAGTCTCAAGTGCCTTCCTCTCCCAAGCTATGATTCCCTCAGGGAGAGCAACAGAGGAATCCTTGGCTTCCAGTCAGTATTTGATCCTGTTTGAGGGCCAAGGCCCATGGGACCTCACTCCTCTACAAGTTTCGCCATTGGCTGCGTGCCCCCTGAGAAGCGGCCACCTTCAGCATGGCCCTCAGCATGGCCCTCGGCATGGCTCAGCACGGCCCTCGGCATGGCTCTGCACAGCCCTCTGCACAGCTCTGCACTGCTCTGCCCTGAGCTGACAAGGGCTGGGTGGAGGCTCACCGTCACCATGACACTCCACTGGCCCGCACCTTCTCTCCTCAACTCCCTGGAAAGAAAGGCAGATTTCTTGTGCTCCAATAAGCTCTTCCAACTTTCCCGGTGCAGGAACATTTGTTGAAGGAGCAAGACCTGACTTATAGTCCTCTCTCTGCAGGATTAGGATAAAACTTTCTTGGAAAGGTAAGGAAAGAATTACTGAAATCACGGGCCCCCAGCTGAGTTTGGGGCTGGGGATAGACTGTCCTGTTCTGTTTACCTCCTATCTTTGGTATGGGTGCAGGCAACGAACGGTTCCTTCCTTGCGGACAGAAGCTAGTGCTGCTTTGCCTGGCTCCTGTTAGGGGAGAGAGCACATGTAATCAGTGGATAACCTTCAAGACTGAGAAAGAGGATAGTGATCTCTGACTTTCTGTAGGAACAAGATTTCATTTTGAAGTTAGTGATGCTTAGACTTTATCCTTATCCTGGCCCTGCACTGTCTCTGCAACAGAGTAAATTAGGGCCCAATGAATAGTGCCTGGGCCTTGTCTCACCTGATCCAGTTTCCCAGTAAGATTCTCTGTGCCTATCATGTGAATTATGCTGCTTGGATGCCTGGGATTGGTGATGCTTAGAGTTTAGATGTTCAGTATTTCTTAATTATCTGAAGGTCACAGCTGAGTAGCACACTCAGCTTCAAAGTATGATGAAAAATGAACATTTTTTTGTGCATCTGAAAAATATTTGTCAACAGTCTGTTCACATCTCTGGAACAGGACAGAAATCAGATGCAACGAAGATCTAGATATGGTCTTATCTGGTGGGAAAGGGGCTTAAAATGGTAAATATCCTGGTTAGAATATGATAAAATTCAGAGACTCCTTTCTGGGCCATCACTAATTGTTTTTTAAAGTGCCTATTAACACACAATCTTATCAGAGAGAGTTATGTTCAATTGAAAGCCAAGTTATTTTGAGCTGAACAAAATGAGAACTCAAGTTACAGTGGTGTAGAGTAAGTCTCTGGCCTTTTGGTGGGTGCTTTGTTAAGTTTTTTAGAACAGTGATTTTCAGAGGTGATATGATTAAAGAAAAACTTTTAAAGACATCAAATAGGAAAGATTCTACAGTGTTCAGCACGTATGGGTACTCAATAATATTTCAAAATTAGTAAACAAACACAGATCAGTTACACTCTGCTATTGTGTTTTCTGACTAACGGATTCATTTCTCTTTCCTAGTACTTCGAGGCTGAGTGTGTGTGCTTTGTCTGTGACTACAGAGTGATGAAGAAACGCCAAGCAGGAGTTAGGGCTGTGGGTCAGTGGTACAGTATGTGGTTAGTGTGCATGAAGCCTTGGGTTCAATCCCCAACAATGCTGTTGTGCACCAGGACTGGCACTTACTTTTGACACCATACTCATCAACAGCCTCCTCTAACTTCCTGTCCTGCTACTGTTGGTCCTACCCAGATGAAACTGCTAATCCTCCTTACTGACATTTTAACTGATTTCTAAAATAATGACAATTGCATGTAATGTAACCTAACACTGCCTACATTTTAAGAGGAAACAGATGTTTGGATTGATTAAGTAACTAGTCCTAACATACAGACAGCCCAAACTAAGATCTAGATTTAGAACTTAACCTTGTCTCTTGGTGAACTGCTCAGCATAGTGCTTCCACCCAGATATTAAGACAGGTCTGAAAACTGTTTGCTTGGGTTTGAAATTCAGTTCATCCAGTTAGTAGCTCTGCGATGGAGAGATAAAGGCCTGACCTTTCTTTTCGACAGTCTTCTTCCTGGAAAAATGGAGGTAATATTGGTGACGCGATAGGGTTCAATTTGTAGGCTTGTCCTGAGGATTGAATGAAGAAATCTAAATAGCTTAAGATAATGCCTGGTACAAAGTAAGCAATTCACAAATACTAGATTGTATAGCCTCCAGGTTTCTTTTAATACTTTTTTTTACACACACACACATACACACACACACACACCTGAGAAACACAGCTGGGGAAGTCCTTGCTGTTCATAGCAGTGCAGGAGAGGCCTGTGGGGCTCACACAGCTGTCGGGGACTTCCCTACTCTGCTGGAGCTGGGACTCCAATTTAGCCTGACTCTACTCTTTTTTTCTTTTTCTTTTTCTTTTTTTTTTTTTTTTTGAGACGGGGGTCTCGCTATGCAGTTCATGCTGGCCTTGAGCTCACTTTATAGCCCAGGCTGGTCTCAAACTCGCAACGATCCTCCTGCCTCAGCCTCCCAGTGCTGGGCATAAACCACCACACCTAGCTCACTCTACTCCATTTTTGTCTTTCTTTTCTTTCAGGATAAGGAGTAGGAGCTATCACTTTTGAGGTGCGGGTTGTGACCAATCCTCCCTGCCGATGGCCAAGCCCACTCATGCAGCTCTGGTCAGCGCCTTGAAATGAACAGGAGAGAAGCCTCTTGGAGCTCCCGCGTGGGTCTAAACTGTGCCCTAATTTGTAAAGACACGGCAGCGCGCCAGGAAAAACTTATCTAGTGAACCCTTTTGAGAAACTTACAAAAATGTCTTCTAGAAAATGTATTTGTACCGTAAAGAAATATTTTTGTAACCACAGGACTAGTGCATATTTGTTCGCCACCATAAGATCAGCACGTCTGCATCAAACGCTCCACGCACAAAAGAGGAAGCCTCTGGCTGCTCTGCAGCTGGGTCTCCGCTCAAACTCTTGGCCCACGCTTTGGACCCTGCGCTCTCCCGCAGAGCTGGGCCACCGTCTGTGACCCTCACTGCGACCACCGACCCCGGGTGCATAGGAACGCCCGAGCACCGCCCCGTCAAGCCGCCCCCACGCCGCACGGGGAATTCCGCGTCCGGAACGGGGCGTGGGGCGAGCTCCGGCAGCAGGAAATCCCCATGCTGCATCCCGCCCCGTGGGGCCTAGATCCTGAGCCTGCAGGCCCCACTCGAGGGCCAGCTCCCAGCTTGGAGCGACGGTGTCTTCGCCTCCCACTCCACGCAGGGCGCAGGCCGGGCGGCCCCTCGCGGCACCCTCGTCCCGGCGGCCCCTTTAAGGGCGGGCATGTGCCCGTGACGTCATACCCGGAAGCGCGGCTGCCGCCTCGAAGGAGGAGGCTCGGGCCTGCCGGCTCGGGCCTGCCGGCTCGGTCCGATTCGCCGCCACAGTGAGTTCCGCCGCGCCGCGTGCCCTCCCGCCTGGCGGCGCCCGAGAGCCAGGGGCCCATGAGTGGGGTTCTGGGCGCGGGCGCCTCTCGGGAGGGGCCGTGGTCAGCACCTGCGCGCCGCGGACGCGCGTGGCCGTGGGGCGTGAGCTGGGGCCCTTCCGGGGTGACTACCTACGGCCCCGGGGGCGGAGTTCACCCCTGGCTGGCAGCGCCCGATCCGCGCCTTCCCGGAGGAAAGAAAGCTCAGCTCCCTCGTGGGGCGCTGAGGTGGCTTTTCCTGACTTTTCTCTCACCCACCCCACTTACAGAGTTTAGCAAACGACAGCATGAGCTGGTCACCATCCCTGCCCACGCAGACATGTGGGGCCTGGGAAATGAAGGAGCGGCTGGGGACCGGGGGTTTTGGAAACGTCATCCGCTGGCATAACCAGGTAGGCGCTGCGGACCGGCGGGGGTCAGGCCCAGGCTGCAGCACAGCCTTATGCCCTTGGTGGACAGGCGCCCCTGCGCTGCTGTTGGAGCAAGCTCTGGTAGAGAGCTCAGAAAAGGAACTGGGAGGGGACCTCAGGCTTGCTAAATTGACTCGAGGCTTTTCAAAGTATGGCGCCGAAATAGTAAAAAAAAAAAACTAACTTCTCAGTCTCAATTACATATTTTAGGTCATAGATTTTTGCTTACATCAGAAGATTGTGCACTAGCTGGGCTTGGTGGTGCACTCCTGGCATCCCAGCACTTGGGAGGCTGAAGCAGGAGGATCCCTGTGAGTCCAAGACCAGTCTGGGCTACGCAGTGAACTCAATGCCAGTGTGAACTACACAGTGAGATCCTATTTCAAAAAAAAAAAAAAAATCATGCATAAATACGTTGTGTACTGATACATGTCATAAAGCCTGATACATGTCATAAAGTCATAAAGCCAGAGAGAAAAACGTAAAAGAATAATTAAGTATTTTACAAAACATTTTAAAATTTACTTAAAATATTTTAAATACTTGCTAATTACAGTCCCTCCCAGTGTTGCTTGTACCGTTGTATAGCATATAATACCCAGATCCTCATGAAAGTGAGATTGATCAATTTTTAAAGCTAATGGACAGCTGTGTGTGTTCACACCTTCAGTTCCTACTATTCAAAAGGCTGAGGCAGGAGGATTCCAAACTGGAGCCCTGCCTAGGCAACTTAGCTAGACCTTGTCTGCAAAAAACAAAATAGATAGGGTGTAGTTTAGTGAAAAGGTCTAGGGTTCATTCCCTAGTACTGTAATGGGGAGAGGGTGAAAATTCACATGATAGATAATTTCTCTGATTTTTGAATAATTGGGACTGAGTTCTTTTTGGACCTGATTAGAATCTTGCTGTGTTTGATCTGTGTCTCACACAACTTCCTAACATTAGAGGTGTCATGTCCCCTGTATTTGGTTTGTGCGGGAATAAGAGGGTCTGACATTCTCTGCAGGAATCTCTTTTAAGACCTGAGTCATTGTGCAAATTATTTGCACGATGTGATCTGTAATCTACCTACACAGGGTGTGTAACCTGTCACAGTTCCACGAGCCATGTCCAGCTTCCTGCTATGGGAGGCTTCCTTTTCCCTGGAACTTGAGTGCTGGGTGTGGCCTGGGGCCCACGATGAGTGATGGGGGAGAGTGCCACATGGGAGCTTGCTTTTACCTTATTATTTTGGATTCCAGCCTGGGGTAATACTTGGAGAACACATGCCCAATTTGGAGACTATTGCTCTAGGAAACCCTCAGTCATCAAATAGCAGAAATGAAGTTCATGATGTGAAATTCAGATCCACCAATTCAAATCATGGACGGTAGCACTAATTTTAGTCAAGCGCTGTTGAACACCTTGGCTTGAGCGACTGGCAGATTCCTGGCCTCAGCCTGGGCACAGCAGAAAGGGCTGGTGCCTGGGGCCATGCTTGAGGCTGTCAGCCCCAAGTGTATGTGGAGACCCCTGGAGCAGTGTAGAGATAAGGGTTGGATGGCTGCATGTGGCTCCATGTGCTAACGCTCACACACCCAGCTCAGGAAGTGGAATTTCTGGCACCCTGTGGCTGAGAAGGCCTTGGGGACCTGGCCATCTCATGTTTATCCTGGTCAGAGGACAGCCAGGGTCCGAGTAAAGACAGAAGGGCTAGCTCCATCTGTGGCCGCACATAAACCTCATGCTTAGTGGTCTGAAAGTCATCTTAGCCAGAGACATTTCCTTCTAAAGATTGTGTCCCTGTGTGCCCTGTGCCTCCCATCTCTAGCTCAGAGTAGCCTGGGCTTGGAAGGAGATCAGCAGGTAGAATTTCATGTTTGGCTTTATAGGTAGGGGCCTGTGTGTGTAGATTAGTCCTAGAGTTACTGCTTCCTTGTGCTTTTCTAAGCTTTGATTTGTCCTTTTGAAAAGGCAAAAGCTGGACTCCTGTCATTTGAGGCCCATCCACAGCTGATCTGTATCCTGCCTCTGTCCAGCACTGCCTTTCTTGTGGGTCCCGGTGTGGACAAGCCTCCCCGTCCTTGATGTGTTGGACAAATTCTTCCTACTCATCAGGACCTGCGAGGTGTCCTCCAATGCCCTCCGTAGACCTTCCCTCCCTTGAACACCTTGTCTTGGCTCAGTTGGTGTCTCTTGGCCATTGTCTTGATGGCTGTGTGGAGGAGGAGGTCTCTTGGTCCCTGTGAGCCAGGGCTGCATTGGACTTGGGTTTCTTTGATTCCCCTAGATCAGAGATTCTATAAATGTGTTAGGTGACAAAATCACACAGCATCCATAACTATTTATCTACTGTATTTTGAAGAAGAGAAAAAACTACTAATCAACCAGTTATAAAGGGTCACTCCCACTTGTCAGTGTGACTGAGTAGAGGACCTAGTGCAGTGAGATCTTATTCTGGGGTAGAGCTTTGTCCACGAGAAATTGGCACTGCGAGTGGGCAGGGTTGAAGGGCTGGAGGGCCTAGAGTGGGCAGGGGAGCCATGTCTCAAGATAGAAGGTGAAAGTCACCCTTCAGGACTTGTTGGCAGTGTAAGCTGAGGTTTTCCCCTGGTCTAGAGGCAGGGAGGTGGTGGAGGCAGGGAGGCAGTGAAGGGAGGTTGGTTCTTACAGCAAGGACAGATAAGAAGGGGCCCAGGCACTGGGTGTGGCATTGCAAAAATTCCTGAAACACTGATTTTCAATGCTGACCATATCCACCGAGTAACTTAATTCTCATTGGCGCTAGAACCATCCATTCTTGTCAAACTCCTGTTTAACAATTGGCTCTCAGTGCAACCTACATCACTGGCACCGCCCAGTAATGTGGAGAGACAGTTACAAAGCTTTGAGAATAGTCCCAGAAAGGGGAAGAGGGGAAAAGTGCATGGGTTTAGGTAGCAGGATAGGAACTGAGGAAGGGGAGGGAAAGGGTTGTGGAATACAGACAGAGACTTCACAGTGCTGATGATGCTGTTCAGTTCAGGACGCGCTCTGCCTTTCTGCACTTTGCCATGGGTTGTTCCTGAGTTTGGGGAGCCCTAAGGCTGACTTGGGGTTTGGGAAAGTCTTTAGTCAGCATCCAAGATCAAAAGGTGAGCAGAAGGCACATTGTCTGTACAGAGCCTCTTGGATTCAGGGAAGGTATTGTTTACCTAGTCCTTGTCAAGAAAAAGTGCATGTGCAAACACATAACTGCATGCTTAACACACATTTGCCTTGTTCTTTATCTCATCTGCACGTGAGAGACTATTTGTAGTTCTCACAGGAAAAATTACTTGGGAGAACATATGCATTGGTATCCTCAGTCAGAAAAATAAGGCCTGACATTCAGACTTACTTACTGCGAGCCTACTCTATTCCAGCATTGGGCTCAGTATCTTACATGGTTTTATTGTCCACTGCTGGGGATGGAACCCAGAGCCTTGTGCATGCCAGGCAAGCATACTGCTAAGCCATTGCTGGGAAGATGCATCTCCTTCATGGTTTGCCTCCAGTTTTTACAGTGACTCTCATCAAAGAAAGTATTGTCCGTTCCTATTTTATAACTGAAGAAACTGAGGCATGCAAGGTTTTGGAACATGAGCTTAGTAAATAAAGAAGCTTACGTTGGAACTTGCATCTTTTCAAGTCCCACATTCCCCCCATGACATCTCCAGCTGGGGAACCAAGGTTAGGGACACCCCCCAGAACATTCCCAGTGTTTTGTAAGTGCTCCTTTTTCCTCTTCAGTCATTCTGTCAGTTGTTGAAGTACTGATGGAAAAGCCCTTTGGAAGGCAAGATATGGAAGTCTTCCTTGTTAAACAGAGAACTCCAGGATGGGTGTGGGTCGTATATTCTAATCCAGAAATGCTCCAGAATCCAGAACAGTGTGAGCACCATGTGGCACCCCAAGTGGACTCTTCCACATTTGGCTTTCTGGCGTGTCATAGGCAGAATGCAGGTGCACTGTAAATATGTACAAAATTACTGTCAGACTACATGTGTAAGGTGTTGTGAAATGAAAATGAATTGAGTGATTAAACGTGGATCCTGTCCCAAGGTAGCTCATTATGCATATGTAAATATCCCTAAATCTGAAAAAAAAATCCAAAATCTGAAATAGTTGGTCCCAAGCAGTTTGGATAATAGTATTGTCTGTGTTTCCTGGTAAGAAAGGGTGGCATGAAACTGACTACAGCCCCATTCTCTCTGGTTTCCCTGATTCTACACGGCAAGGGCAGTGACAGTCCCTCCTCAGTCTATAAACCCTTACATCCCCAGGCCGAGCCTCAGCGCAGACTATTCCTTGACATAGCCCAGCCAATGTGTTCAATAAGTCCTCGTTATATATGAAAGAAGGAGGAGGTAAGGGCAGTAATCCCAGCTGGCAGCTGTTTTAGGAGTGAGGGTAGGGCTCACTTTCACACAGACCTTGGTTCAGATCCCCATTCTGCCCCTGGCCGCATCCTTGACTTTGGATCACAATTTCCCACATGCATTGTGAGGTTCTAAGATACTGATCTTCTCTACTGTGGATCCCCACCATGACCAGCAGGACATGGGGCAGCTCCTCTCTGGAGGCATCCTGGGAGGTGTCATGGCGGTGGCTGTCTCTGCGCACTTGATAGTGGCCAGCAAGTGCTGCCTGGGATCATGCTGAAGGTAGAGTGTGACAGATGCGCTTGCTATTGCAAAGCAAGGTGCTGTGAGTTGTCCTTCGTATGAAGTTGTACTGACTTTTCCTGGGTATCAGTGTACTTCTGCTTATCTCTGTGTTCAGATCTCATCCACCTGTCCATTCACTATGAGCTCTTTTCCAGTCCTGGAGATTGTACCTCCTCATGTTAAGCTATATTCCCCACCCTTTTTTACTTTTTATTTTGAGATGGAGCTTAAGTTGCTAAGTTGCCAGGCTCGATCCAAACTTACAGGCTGCCTGCCTGAGCCTTTTGGAGTGCTGGGACTATAGGCACGCACTGCCAACGTGGTGTACTAGTAATTTATTGGGCATGCGCCTGAGCTTTGTTTGGGAGACAGGAGTAAAAGAGAAGATTTTGTCCTTCACATACTTACCTTCTCATTGAACGAATGGGAGTATATTGAGCAAGTCTAGATGTAAGCTCTAAGTTGTATGGCAGTGAAAACTGGTCACTGCTTACAGAAAGCACAGAGCACCAGGTGTTCTAGATACTCTGTACATGGTCTCTCTTTCAAATGCTCAGAGGCAAAATGGGACTTCAGTGGCATCTTGAAGGGACATAACCTTTAGATAACCAGACAGGAAACAGAGGAGAGAAGACAAGTGGGTAGAGCAACATTTATATTGGACTAGAAAAAGGAAGTGATCATGGTGTATTTCATCTGAGGCTCACGATGGGTCAGAGGCCACCTTTCATGTTCATTGGCATTGGAAGGGTAGAGTCATTTCCATTATGATTGAACCCAAAGCCTAAATAGTGTCCTGCACACCCTGTACTTGCCAGGCACAGGAGGAGGGAATGCTGCCTTTCTCTCAGGACCATGCTACTGGCTCCTGTAAATGAGATCAGAGGCACCCTGGGTGCTCGCATCATAGGGAGGAAGGTTGAAGTCACTGGTCCTCTTGGAAGGGGGTCAGTGCTGAGGGAAAGTGTTTTATCACCTCTCCATAACAGGAGGAAGCTGCAGCTTCCCAGCTGGACCCCACCCCCAAATCTCTCAGGGCCCAGCCTTGCAGCTTCTTTCTTAAGCACTCATCTAGTGGGTAAGAATCTGAGAAGGAATGATTGCTGCTTGTACCACTGTGGCCTGTTCTGGTTGCATAGGACTGAATTTTCAGGATAAGGGTCTAGATGGAGCTTTTGCCTCCTGCATGTTTCTCTGGCCTCTTAAGAGGTTATCTTCCAGGGCTGGGCTTTTTGTTTCCCAGGCACACAGCATTCTGGTGCCTCTGCTAAAGCATCTCTGTTAAAGCACCCTTGGGAGCTATGGGAAGTCTGAGGTGTGTGTCCCCTCACTCCCTGCCTTTTTATACCTTACAGGTTACTCACATTTATATATATATATATATATATATATATATATATTTTTTTTTTTTTTTTTTTTTTTTAAATCAGTACCAGGGATCGAACTCATGATCGGGCTTGCAAGGCAGGTGCTTATGTCGCTGAGCTAAATTCTTGGTCCACTCACATTTATATACAAGTGTTATGTTTTCTTATATAAAAAGCAAAGAATTTTAAATGTTAAGACCTTCAAAATCAGCTACACTTGTATAGCTTAACTGTTGTCTCCCTTCCCCTGGGAGACCTGGTTAGTCATATCAGTGCTGCAGCCTGCACCCTGGAGGCTGCTGGTGTCTCAGACATGGATGTGCAGTTGCAGCATAAAGACCTTTGAAACACTGTGTTGTGTAAGAAAAGCCCACATGCTCTATGACTATATTTATGTGAAACATCCAGAACAGACAGGCCCATTGATTGGTGGGTACAGAGGGGTAGAAGAGCTCAGGAAAATGAAGTAGCTGCTAATGGGGATGAGTTTCTTTGCAGGATAGTGAACATGTTCTACTATTGATTGTGGTTTTTGTTGCACAACTGTGAGTATCCCCCAAACCATTGAATTGCATGTTTTCAATGAATTCATTGTATATTGCATGAATTAACATCATTATAGAACTGTTAAAAACAAAAGAAGTAGACATGTGTGATCATTGCATCTTAGCTTAAAGCTATATTGGGTTTTGATAAAATCGGCGTTTGAGAATTTTAAAGGTGTTGTATTTCTTTTCTGGTATTAACAGTGTCATGGTCCAAAGATGCTCCTGCCTCAGTTCCAGAGCTCTGACTTCATGAATGTGTGTTTTAGGAATATGTGGTTAATGACTGGAGAGGCAGTGGTCTTACTAGACAACTTCTGCTTGTGGTTGGAGATTGCCCTGGTTCATGGATGGCCTTGGTCCTGGAGGGGTTATGGCCAGTTTGTTAACTTAAGACTGTGGTGAACTTTAGTGTAGCTGTGTGTCCCTCTCTGAATGTCTTTCTTTCTTTTTTTTTTTTTTTTTATTGGCACCAGGGATCAAACTCATGACTGCGCGTTTGTAAGGCAAGTGCTTATGCCGCTGAGCTAAATCCCCAGCCCGTCCAAATGTCTTTTTAAGTCCCACCTTTTCATAAAATGAGAAGCTTGGGAAGATGGTCTGACAGGACATCTTTAAAGGGGGCCAACATTATTGTCTGTGTCAAATATGGCTGATTTTGAAGGTGCAGTTGTTTGCCTTTTGCCGATGGGCATGAAGGTCATGTATCACAAAAGTGTGAGATCTGTAGAATTTTGGTAGTTACCCTGCTATCCAATTGGCTGTGAAACATCCCAGATCTAACGCTTTGTGCGGGGCTTCAGGGACAATGACACAGAATAGCTTGCTTAGTAGCACTTTGCTCAATTGTGGTTGGGGACAGTGCTGTCCCTCAGCCATCCTGGTAGCTCATGGGACTAAGGAGAGGACAGTGGCTTAGTGGTGATGGCTGGAGTGCTTGAGCCAGAGCCACTCACTGTGTTGACACCAGCATACAGCCTCAGCCCTCCACATGCCCCAGGGTCCCCATTGGCTTCTCGTTGCACTGACAAAGAGGCATTAATCCTCAGGAATCAGTGCCTCAGCTAATTAATCACAGAAAAGTTGATTCCCTTCTCATCCTTCAAGAAACCACAGTGGGGTGTATGTGTGTGTGTGTGCGCGTGTATGTGTGTGTGCTACTTCCTGGTGTAAAGGGCAAAGCTCATAGAGATGAACATGTATGTAATTTGGGAAAGAAAAGAGGAGGATGGAAACCTGTCGCCCATAGGGAAGAGCTAACTAGTATGAGTGCAGTGGAAGAACCACCTCTTGCAGAAGCAGAGGAGGTGAGGTCCTGTGCTGTGTGATGGGGCGGATGGTCTGATCTGGATGTATGAGCCATGGGAGAGGGCTAGGAAGGCAGTGGGGAGCCAGGCTCCAGGGGATCCTAAGAGCAGGATACCCGCATTGTGATGTGGATAATCAGACTCCTGTTAAGGGCTGACACTGCTAGTGCTCATCTCCACGGCAGCCTGGCAGATGGTTGTCATTGTTACCTTTTTATGGAGAAGACAGTGAGTCAGACTTCATGGCTTGTCCAGGTCATGGAGCTAGTAGAAGGTGGAGTTGGAATCTGAGCTGGCCTACATCCTGTCTGTTCTCTCTAGAGATACAACTCTTAAATGAAACACTGAAGGTGCTCAATGTGATGTTAGTTTGGACAGATCAAAATGGCCAGCCAGGCCTGGTAGCACATGCCTATAATCTCAACACCATGAGAGGCTGATGCAGGAGGATTTCAAATTAGAGTCCAGCCTGGGCAACATAGTGATTTAGCATGACTCTTGTCAAAATAAAAAATAAAAGAAAGACTGGTAATGCAGCTCAATGTAAAAGCCCTGAATTCAATCCCCAGAACTAAACATAAAAAGTGGCCAAAATTAGCAGTGTCATATGATTTAACATAATACAAAGTGAGATAGGGCTCAGAGAGAAAAACTGCAACCTCTATGGGTAGGCCTGGTCAGCAGAGGTTTCACAGAGACGCAGAGACAAAGCATGCTTTGTAGACTCTGGCTGGGTAAAAACTGGGCAGGCTGAGGGGCATGTGGTGGGGATCTACCATACCCCAGGGATCAATACTCCGGAGTTCTCAGGGAGACTTATGAGCCTTCCTTCCCAGCCCCAAGAGGTGATTACATGCTCAGTTCATTCTCCAGTCCCATTCCTACAGGAAACAGGTGAGCAGATCGCCATCAAGCAGTGCCGGCAGGAACTCAGCCCACGAAACCGGGAGCGCTGGTGCCTGGAAATCCAGATCATGAGAAGGTGAGGCCTGAGCCCAGAGCTTCCGGAGCCACTTCAGCAGCCTAGAGACAGTGACATTAGATCTACGCCATCAGATTCCAGTTATGCTGTGCAGATACATAGTGTTAGCTTTCTCATCACTGGGACAAAATAGTCAATGCCTGCAACTTAAAAGGTGGAGAGGTTTATTTTGGCTCACAGTTTCAGTGGGTTCAGTCCATGGTGAGCTGACTGCAAAGCAAAAATGGCATGGAAGGGAGACAAGGCAGCAGAGCACACTGGGAGGAACCAGGGACAAAAATATACCCTTCTGGTTGTACTCTTGGTGACCTGCCCCTTCTGACCAGTCCCTGCTTATGAGAACATGAGACTTTTAGGGGATATTTTAGATTGAAGCCATGATAGATGACTCTCCCCTTCTGTAGACTCCTGACAGAGTGACATTTAAAGATTTTTCTGGGTTTTAGTCATGTTTATGACCTGGTGTAAATACTTTACACTAGTTATTATTTCTAAGTGCAGTGACACCCACCTGTAGACCCACCTACTTGAGAAGCTGAGGAAGGAAGATCACTTGAGTCCAAGAATATAAGGCCAGTCCTAGCAAGGCCCCATCTCAAAAATAAATAGTCATCATGGTGAATTTTCCTTCATCACCAAAACAATCCTTCCTCTCTATTTCCAGTTCTGGGGCAGCATGCGACTCTGCTGTCAGCCTCCTGCTAGTATCTGTTGCTAATATAAAGGTCTGTCACTTGCCAGGTAACTACCATTTTCCTGGCTTACAGCCTATAGGACAGCAAGCAGGTGCTCTCTCTGCTGGCCTCGTCCAAAGGGCAGGCATGTATACACAGTATCCCCCTATAGTGCCATATGCTTAGAAGTCACTCTGTTTTCTCTGCTTTTAGAAAGAGTTTTGCAGAATGGTGGGGACTTGAGATGGGCACTTTGTAAAAACCGCTAAGTGACTCAGGCACAGACACAGGTTGCTTGAGTTCAGGGTGCTGGAAGTAGAGCAGGTGGCTACTGCTGGCCTGGCTGTGAACCCCACCTCCTGTGTGTCCTCACATGCCCTCCTTGGCCTAGGCGTTGGGGAGGAGGTGAGCTCAGCTGGTCATGGAGGAGGAGCAGGTTCATGCTGAAGCCTGGGTTCTGCCGTCATCGATTTCTCCTCCTCCCCAGGTTGAACCACCCCAATGTGGTGGCCGCCCGGGATGTCCCAGAGGGGATGCAGAACCTGGCACCCAACGACTTGCCCCTGCTGGCCATGGAGTACTGCCAAGGAGGAGACCTCCGGAAGGTAAGGCTTTGAGGTGCATAGCCCTCTGGGCAGGGTTGAGACACTGGGACTGGAGGGAACGGGATCTTTTCTCTGCTGTTGTCAGCAGCAGCTCAGCACCACAGTGATGTCAGCAGGCTTGTCCTTTTCACTCCCTCGCCTGAGTGCCTGCTTTGGGTGGGGCGTGTGCCTGTGAATCACACAGCGTGACGTGGAAGCCAGGAAGGACTACATCCTGCATGATGACTGCTACACTGACAGAAATCCATCATCTTAACTGAACCACTAGGGGGAGGCTGGATGAATCCCAACACAAACTCCTCTGGCTGCCAGGCCCACCATGGGCTGGTGGGGTCGACCTCACTGCTGTCCTGTGAGGAAAGGTTTTCTCCAGGTGTTACAGCAGGGCCCTGTGTAACAGGAAGGGAGCTGGCTTAGTTACCTAGGAACCAGGCTGTGGTTCAGATGCACCCCTGACTCACCTGGAGCTCTGCCTTCTCCCGCCTCACATCACCTCCTCTATTTGAGAGACAGGGGGTGACCTCAGGAACTGTTCCTTGTGCCAACTCCCAGGTGTTCCCCACAGCACCACAGCTGTGGCCTTTGACAGCCGGTGATATTGGTACATGATAGGATCCTCACATTCCTGACAGGTGCTGGGCTCAGGAGTGTGGCTGATTTCTGGGCCGCATGGAGCCCAGCAGGCCTGGGTCCCTGACGTCAACCAGTGCAATGTAACAGTAGGAAAAGAGAGTGTATTGATTTCTCTTGAATCTACTCTTAGCACAGCTCTTCCTAGCTCCTTTTTCCAGAGGGTCCTGCCTGACTTATAAGGGTAGGGGTGGCAGGTTCCCAGGCTTTCGTTCCATTTGGATGTAGTGGTCTCCAATACACAGTGTGCTTTTCACACTATCTTTATCTTGCAAAAGGGCAATTTCCACAAGGGTCAATCTGTGTGAGTAAGTATCCTACCATGGGTGGTGGATACATCCCCGGAAGGGTGTAACAGCAGGCAGGATATGAGCACAGTAGTTGGTATAACCCAGGAGTGGCACTGATAACAATGAGAAATGGAGAACTTGACAGTTCTTTCTGTATTTTCCTGCTTGTGACACTCGCCCCTCACTGACTATACCTGTGTGTAAATAAAGCTGTGGTGTGATGATGTGGTGACTGGAGCTGGTGAGCCTAGAACGAAGACGATGGCAGTGCCTTGTGTGGGCTGCAGGCAGATCTGTGGGAGACTTGGGGAGGAGCACCCTAGGGCCTGACCTTGAGGTACAGTGCCAGGGTGGGTGCTGTAAACTGTGTGCCCCCTGTTCCCCAAATGAGGCAGCCTATCTCTCTCCTCTAAAACACTCAAAGCCATAACCATGAGCACACTTGGCCAGCAAATGGCAGCATCAGAACTTACTTACGTAGTTAAGTCTGGTAGGAGGGTGGATAGCTTGAACCCAGGAGTTCTAGGCCAGCTTTGCAATATAGAAAGACCCAGTCTCAAACAACCCAAAAAGATAAACAGGCCCTTAAATGTTGAGAGATGTAAGGATTGGCTCATGATCCTGAGCCACAGTTGGGAAGTTACTTTTTCTGCTGAGCCCCTGCAGGCCAAAGGCTAAGTGCTGGATGTGGATTGTGAAGGCTTGGCTTCTGCCTCCAGCCCCACCTCTAATCCTGTGTGTGCTGTAGGCTTCTCTGGTCTGTTTCCTTATCCCTGCTCTGGAGAGATCAGCAGGCTTAGCACAGGGAGTTGTGTGATGACGCAGGCCGAGTCCTGCCATGCTGGTTCACTCAGAGGTTAGCCCATATGGGCTCAGAACAAGTGTGTGCTCAGTGCTCATGTCCTGTCACTACATGGCAAGCTGTGTCAGGGAAATGGCCAGCAGGTGGCTGTGGGACTCTCTGGAGCTGACACTCAGTTGTGGCCAAGCTTAGACCCTAGTTTCCTCCTTTCAGCGTGTGGCAGCAGGTGAAGCTTGCAAATTCCTTACCTTGAAGTGAGTCAGGCATCCCCTGCCAGGGCCCATACTGTGAACATGAGCAGGCCCAGGGCATTGCCCCAGCCTACCCTGTGCACCAGTTCCCACCAGCCCTGCTGCCCGGGCCCTGCAGAGTCAGGTCCCCAGAGCCCAGGCTCACACTCTGGTGGGCTCAGCAGGTGGTACACACTGGAGGGTTGATTGGTGACTTGCGACTGCTCACACTGATTTTCTTTCCAACTCATGGCAGTACCTGAACCAGTTTGAGAACTGCTGTGGCCTGCGGGAAGGAGCCATCCTCACCCTGCTGAGTGACATCGGTAAGCCGCAGCCGTGGGAACAATGGATCCCTCAGGGAAACTGTGTGGGACCTTGGGAATCTCTGCAGAGCACGGAGAGGAGCTGCCCCCATCCCGTGGTCTTTACACAGGTTGGATGGGGCGTGGAGGGCCTCGGGGAGCAAGAGGTCAGTGAGGGGCTAGTCGGGCGGACACTGTGCTCACATAGCTCTCCCTTCCTTCCGAATGAAATCATGGAGAGTGACAGATTTCCTTTCCCATTCAGAGCTTGGCTCCCTGCTTTCCTGCAAAGGCCAGTGATGGAGATGGTTATCATTTGCATGAATTGTGTCCCCTGACAGTGAGTTTTTCCACTCTGTGTTGCCAGCTGCAGGCATAGGAAAAAACTACCCTTGTTTAACCTTTTGGCCTCACCAGTGTCCTCAGATGAGAATGTTTGTGGTGCTCTGAGAAGGTTATGTGGCTTTGGGAGAATGGGTTGTCTCAGCAGAGCATCTCCTTGGCCCTGGGCCAACTCCAGGGGAATGGGGCATGAAGGGTCATAGCTACCACTAAGACCTGCTCATGACTTTGTTATAATTTCTAGGATGTTGGAGTAAGTTCATAGTTTAGGATCTGAGGGTCAAAGTTACCCGCTGTTTATCCTTGAATATTTGCCCCAGGTTTGATGGATGCCACCATTTTCATACTTGTCCACCTCAGCCTTTTGAAACTCTGTGTACTTTTTTTTTGTCCAAATGGTCATACTGAAAAGTTAAAAGAGTAGAGTGGATGAACTCAGACGCTCCCTCAGCTTCTTCACCAGCTGTGCACGTTTGCCACATGTGTAAAGCTGTGTTCTCCAGTCCTTGGCCTGGTGCATTGGTTGGAGGGGGGCAAAAAGGAAACGAGGGGGGAAAGCCATGAAATGACAGGTCTGAAGCTAAGATCCAAACAGTCTGACACATAAAGTACCCATCTCTTTGTGTCCTGTCTCGTCCTTTTCAGTGGAGGTCTCTTGGAGGGCAAAGGGACATTACCTCAGCCTGACCTCCCTTGTGTGAGGTGCGTGAGGTTCCTCAGTGGACCTGCCATGAGGGCGCCAGCAGCCTGCAGCCCTGGTGCGGAAGTCAGGAAGCCACACTTTCTTGGCACCTTGCCTTGCGGCTCCCCGTTTTCCTTAGATCTTTACTTGGCTGTATCTTTTACTCTCAGTAGGCAAATTACTGATTTGTTTACTGTTGAATTTAAAGCAGATAGGTTGGGGAATATTCTTTTTTTCTTCATGGTCAACTTTTGTTAGAATTTACAGGTTTTTGGTTTTTTTGAGTTGTGGCACAGGGATCGAACCCATGGCCTTCATGTTGAGTTATATTTCTAACCCTCTCATATTTTCAGATAGGGTCTTATGAAGTCTTTAAATTGTCCAGGCTGGGCTCAAATTTGTGCTCTTCCTAGTCATCCTTCCCAGAATGCTGGGATTACAGGCATGTGCCATGTTGCCCAGCTGAAAAGTTCTTTAAAGTCCGGGAGAACATGGCAGACAGATAACAGCTACTACGGAGGCTCTCTGAAAGGATTGGTTCAGAAGTCAGGAAGGGTGCGGAGTAAGGAGACATAAGCAGGTGGAGATATGTTTTCTGCTGACTCAGGAATGAACTGGGCTGAGAGAAACCAACTTGGAATGCAGTCCTGGTGCTAAAACAGGAACAGAAAAGCCTCAGTGTGGAGGCTGGACCCCGCGCTATTGGAAGCCGCGATTTGGGTTTCCCGCCGCACGGCGACTGCCTCTACAGCGTCTCGGCAAGGAGACAGATGCTCGGAAGCTCTAAGAATGGGAATCTGCGAACAGAGTCGAAAACAGGACGGGCAGGGAGGTGTGCACTGACTTGTGGTGAGGTGAGTGAGAGAAACTGACACTCTTCCACAGTTGACTCCAGCGGAGGACTTTCTGGGCCTGGGCAGTCCTGCGGGAGCAGGGCGCGGTAGCGACTCCAGCCACACATTCCCATCTCGGGCGGGATTGGTGAAAAGTGCCTGGCCTGCATGACGCTGCTGGCGGACCCGGTAGGCTGGCCCAGCCCAGATCCCAGAGCCTGATGGTGGCCGGGAGGGGCGGGCCTCGAGTAGGCTGCCTGGTCCGTAACTCCCTGGTGCGCTGCAGTGAGCGGGAACACCTAGACGGCGCAATTCGATCAGGCTGTGGCTGACAGGGAGAGAAGCTGGGTCTTCTATATAAGCTTGCATATATAGGGAGCAGAGAATATGGGAAGAGGCAGCAACAAGAAAGGCTCCTCGGCCCCCAATTCTGAGAAACAGGCAATAGCGGACACCGCACCAATAGACATAAAGCGCCATATAGAGAGCCTCATAGATCAGTTCAGGAATGAAGTTATCAATGACCTGAAGCTAGAAGTATGCAGAATAGTTAGAGAAATGCTAAGCACCACCCAAGAAAAAACAGATGGTGGAATGGAAGAACAGAAAAAGAGGGGAGAATTGTTTGATGGAGAAAACAGAGAAAGCATAGAATACGTGAAGCAGGTTCAAAGGGACTACCAAGAAACTAAGAAGTCTATCAAAAAGACTGGCATAACAGCTTGAAAGAAACTAAGGACAGACTATCTGAACTGGAGGGCAGACTTGTAATATGGGAGAATGAAATGAAAAACTTCTTAAAAATAACAAAGAAACAAACAGCAATAATACAAAGACAAGAAGATGATAAGAGGAGCCATAACTTAAGGATTAAGAACATAAAAGAAGAAGTAGGGACACAAACAAGTGAACTACAAAAGCTACTCACAGAAATAATCCAGGAGAATTTTCCTAATTTAGCAAAAGGTAAGGATACTCAGATGTATGAGCCATATAGGACCCCAGCTACCTACAACCCAAACAGAGCAACACCCAGGCATATAATAATAAAAATTCCAGAAATTCAATACAAGAACAGAATATTAAAAGCTGTCAGAGACAAGAAACAGACCACTTACAAGGGAACACCCATCAGAATTACAGCAGATTTCTCTGCACAAACCATCAAATCATGAAGAGCGTGGGGGGAAATAATTCAAACTTTGAAAGATAATAATCTCCAGCCAAGATTGAGATATCCTGCACAACTGTCCCTGGAAATTGATGGAAAAACAAGGTGCTTCCAGGATAAAGAGAAACTGGGGGAATTTGCAACCACCAATTCAACTCTACAGAGAGTATTGCAGGATATTCTAAAAAAAGAAAAATACAAAGAATCCAGAAATAGTGGCGGGGAGGCCACAACGAATGGAGCAGAGAACAAAATGAAGAAGACAAACTGACAGCTACTGACAGAAAAAGAGCTCAACAGAAACAAGGCAGAGAAGATTGGATGATAGGAACAGCTATTTTGGAGAAAATGACATCTTAATAGGTAATACTGATTTAGTGTCATCTTGTTTTGAAGTTTCATCTAGCTTTTGTTCTTCTGTCTCCAATGGTCTAAATAGGTTGTATCTTATTGGATTTTATTATGTATGATAGTATAAGCAAAAACCTTTTAAAGACAAGGAGATTATACAGAAACCATTGTTCATTTTCTCTTAGTTGATTCTAAATACTCTGTAATGCTGTCATTCTCTTAAATGGTTTTACATTGTTTTGATATACTTAATGCTACAGTATACGAAGTTGTACTCAAGGATTTCAAGGAGAGAGACAATATGGTAACTACTTTTAGGTCAGGATTATCTGGTGGTGAAACACTATTCTGCTTAAATGGTTATGTTTTGATCTGCGCTGTTTCGCTGTTATATGCCCTCTTTTATCTCAATCTCCACTCCATTATTTACTTTTTTATTTTTATCCTTTTAATTAAAGGAAAAAAATAGCAGGATATATTATAGTAACCCACTTTGACTTTCCATTATCTCGATTTAAAGCCCTGTATTACTCTCACCATCTTGTTTTTGACTGATGTTCTCCTATTCTGTTTTGCTGCATAGTATCAGGTTCGAAAGTTTAGGCAACAGCTGTGAAGATAATGAGATTCATTAAGATGCCCATTCTCGTTGACTTTTATCTACTTTTGAAGACCTACAATGTCTCCAATGTTTTGGTTTTATCGGTTTTATTCTTTACTGTTTTGTTCAATTTTATTATAACTAATGATATAGGCAATTCTATTAGAGATAGTGGGAGGCATTATGGTAACCATTGTTGATCACCTTGTATTATGTTTTTACATTATCTATTATGTCCACCCTTTTGACTTGACCGATTCTGTTCTGTTATGTCACATTTGGTTTTACTCTCTTCCAAAAAAGTAATAAGAACCGTGGGAGCAATGAAACCCAAAATGTGTAATAGTCATTGTACAAAAGAGAGGAAAAGAAAGTGCTCTAAACTATATAACTGCATGTATATTTAAGTGTATAAGATAGAAAATGATATCACAGAGTTTTATTGGATCATTGAACAGAACTGTTTGCAGTATCATTGTTGGAATGTCCACTTTACAAGCTTTAATTTTGTAACTTGAACAATTATTTCTAAGATGACAATATGTAATCCATTAACTAGTGATTTCCTACTGTTCATTTTTTTCTGTAAATCTGTATAACTTGTACCCTTTCTCTGCTTTTTTTTTCTTTTCTCCTTAAATAAAATTTAAAAAAAAAAAAAAAAAAAAGAAAAGTTCTTTAAAGTACTGGCTCAAGTCCACAGAACTGTCTATTGCCTTGTAATGTTTTACTTACAGTGATTTCCTACTGGAACTAATTATGTCTTTACTCACTGCACATTCTTTTGGCCTGGGTGCATTTTGAATCCATTTGCTATTGGCTTGTATAGGAGCTTTTACGTTATCTAAGTTTATTTACGTGTGTGTAAATTATACGGAAATCACACTAAGAAAGATAGGCGAGCTTTAAAATGCTGCTGTCCTATAGGTCATGGATATTAAATTCTGTAGGTCACTGATCCCTTGTTGTTCCTCTCTGTGATCCCAAATTAGAAATAATTAGACTCTGGGGACCAGCACACTAGTATTTAAATTTTGTTTT